CCTGTAACTCCCCTACCGGGAAATACCAGGTGGAGCACACAATCACAAGCTGTAATAGTCACTCAGTATCATCTAAGTCATTTTACAGAGGGGAAAACTGAGTCCCAGAACATGTAAGAGAGCAGCAGAGCCAAGTTTCGAACCCAAGTCCTCTGACTTCAAATACAGAGTCCTGTCCACTCCATCAAGCTGACTGAAAGGATCCAGAGCTGGGACAATCTAGCCATGAACCTAGAAAGACTTAGAGGGGACAGAATCCTATCTTCGAGCATCAGAAGGTGGTCCAGGGGAAGAGGAAATCAGTCTATTCTACTTGGCTTCAGAGGGCCAAACTAAGAGCACTGAAAGCATGTTAAAGGAGGAAGATTTTGATCTGCTGTAAGAGAGAACACGCTAAAACCAGAGCATTGCAAATGCCGAACGGGCTGCTTGGGCAATGGTCTTCAGGCAAAAGCCAGGCAGCCTCTCACCAGAGACACTCTAGCGAATTCCAGGCCAGAGAAAAGTGGGACCAGGGCCCCCAACCCGAGATCCCTCCCAACTCTGAAATCCTTACCTTCTGTGACACAGAGTCAACGCCCTCATTTTACAACAGAGAGAAAAGCAGCACAAAAGGGTTAAGGATTCACAGCCAAAGTCATGCAGGCGGCAAGCGGCAGTGGCAGGATTTGAATCTGTCTTCTGACTCCAAACCCCACCTTTTGTCCACTCCATCTCTCCTCCATACTCCTTAGAGGTTCGGCATCCGCATCACATTCCACCTTCCTGTTCTCTTCCAAGCCCATCCTTTAAAAACCCAATTCAAAAGCTGCCTCCTCCAGGAAGCTTTGCACAATTTCCCCGTTAGTATGAACCTTAACCCTCTCAGACCCTACGTAGTCTCTCTAGTGCACTGGTGTTACATTTCAAATGACAGGTTTTCTTGTGTGCATCTTCTCCTCTCACCCTCATCGGCTGACCCCCGTGCCTGGGATATCTACCTTCCTCATCTCTGTCTCCTGGTTTCTGTGGCTTCCTTCAAGTCCCAGCTAAAATCCCACCATTTACAGGAGGCCTTCCTCAACTCCTCTTCATTCTAGTGCCTTCTTCCCGATGGGTATTTCCTATTTATCCTGGATATAATCCGTTTGTGCTTGGTTGTTCATATGCCGTCTCCCCCATTAGACTGTAAGCTCCTCAAAGGCAGGGATTGCCTTTTGCCTCTTTTTATATCCCCAGCATTTAGCAAAGTGCCTGGCAAATAGCAGGTGCTTAATAAATGTTTCATGACTGACTGATTAAATCTCAAGCTCCCAAAAAGCAAGGACTACGTCTTCTCTAAACTGTATAACTTCCCTCCAAAAGCCCAACAAAATGGACTACTAATAGACTAGAAGAGGGAAGGTGGGTGGTACAGTGGTTAGAGCACTGGACCTGGAGTCAGGAAGATTCATCTTCCTGAGTTCAAAGCTGACCTCGGATACTTACTAGCTGAGTGACCCTGGGCAAGTCACTTAACTCTGTTTGCCTCAGTTTCCACATCTGCAAAATGAGCTGGAAAGGGAAATGACAAACCACTCCAGTATCTTTGCTAAGAAAAGCCCAAACGGGGTCATGAAGAGTCAGACAAGACTGAACAGACTGGAAACTCCTTGAGGGCAGACTCCTTTTCATATCAATCTTTGCATTCCCACCACTAGTTAATGCAGGAAGGCATTCCTATTTTGAGCACTTCATTTTAGAAGAATTATTGAAGAACAAGTTATGACTGTTGGGGGTGGGAAGGTGTTATGCATCACGAAAGCCCTAGGTCTTTGGGGAAGGAAAGGAGTAATTTCAAAGGTTCAGGAAAGACCTCTCCCAAACAGAACCTAATCATCAGCCAGGATGTCTAAATTGCCACCCTGACAGTTTGATGACAAAGAAACTTCCTCAAGGCCCCTCCCCCCAAATCCTATGGTCAATGGTTTCCTGGTGCTGCCAAAGCCTCCTGGGTCCACCCCAACCCCTCCCTAAGAGGAGATGTTAGGCTGGGAGCTCACTCCTAATACCAGCCTAGCCCATCCCTGAGCTCACAGAGCCCAGCTCCCAGGTCACTGCATAGTAGGGGCAGGGCAGAGCCAGGAGAAAGGAATTTAACCCTTTGAGGCTGACACTTTCTCCATGGTAACTCCTCACCCCAGGGATAAATCAACACTTCCTCCCAGGCCAATCACTCACCACTGCTCCTAGCTCCTGGACCCTCCTAACCCTGTCCCAAATCACTCCCCACTTTTTCTTCTACGTACCTCTCTCCCCAAGGGTAGCCTCGGAATAGGGGTAAATAGCCTAGGCTAGTTGGAGTGGGCATTTGCAACGCTCTTAGGCGGGTAGGATTCCCCCTTGCAAGAGGTACAAGAGAGATCCTGGGCCAGTCCTGGACAGCTGAGCCCACTGACTTTGGGATTCTGAAACATACACATATAAGTATATATTGATAGACAGGCAACAGGGACTCACATTCTAGGGCCAGGCACTTACAAGCAATGCAACCTTTGAACAAATCACTGTCTCAGAGCCTGTGTCCTCATCTGCAAAGTAGAAGAATAGCCATACTACCCATTTCGCAGATTTGTTGTAAGGAAAACACATTGTAAACTTTATATAGAAATATAGAAAATTATGATGACAAAAATAATAATTCCTTTAAGTTAAAACTGTGAGTCCTGATAAAATGCACATCTCCATTGTAATAGATAACAGTATTTTTAGAGCTAAAACAAAAAGGATTTTAGAGACAACCTAAACCAATCTCCTCTATTTACAGAAAAGAAAACTGAGGCCCAGGAAGGGAAGTGTGGTATGGTGGAAAGCACTGATCTCAAGTCAAAAGATCTGGATTAAAATCCAGGTCACACTTACAACCTGTGTGACCTTGGGCAAGTCACTAAATACACACAAATCTAACCCAGTTGATTTCCTGCCAGTCATTTAAAAGCCAACTCAATGTCATCTCTTCCACGAAGCCTTCTTTGATTAGCCCAGGTGATAAGGATCTTTCCCTCAAACCTCCCATGTGGCTTTGTGCCCAGTGACATGGGAGAGACAGGAGGAAGACAGCACGAGGCATAGACTGGACAGAGGCCCCAGGAGCAGAGGCAACAGGCTCCCACACTCCCTTGCCTCCATCCCATCTCTGGCTGGCTGGAGGGTCTCCAGCTCCTGCTAAGGGGATTCTGACAAGCTGCCTGCTCAAGCCCTCCATTACTAAAATCACCTGGCCTGTGTTTGACCACAGTCTCCACGGGGTTTGATTGTCCTGATACTACCCCAAGCTAGGGCCAGGGGTGAGGGGGGAAATGGGACAATTTGCTGAGCTTGCTGTTCCAGCTTCATGAACAGCCTCCTGGGAATCTTCTGGTATAAGAAATGTCCTGCCCTTCCATCATTCAGCCCCTGCTGAATTCAGTACCAGAGCTCACACACACACACACACACACACACACACACACACACACACCTCCCATACAGATAGATACACATTCAGGACCCATAGGGGGTCTGGGATAGAGAAGCCAACTTCCTCAAGACCCCTCCCCCCAAATCCTATGGTCAATGGTTTCCTGGTGCTGCCAAAGCCCCCTGGGTCCACCCCAACCCCTAAGAGGAGATGTGGGATTGGGAGCTCACTCCTAAAACCAGCCTAGCCCATTCCAGACCTCACAGAGCCCAGCTCCCAGGTCATTGCATAGCAGGGGCGGCCCCTAGGACAGGGCAGAGCCAGGAGAGAGGAATTTAACCCTCTGAAGCTGACACTTTCTCCATGGTAGCCCCAGAATTTGACTTCCCTCACCCCAGGGATAAATCAACACTTCCTCCCAGGCCAATCACCCACCACTACTCCTAGCTCCTGGACCCTCCTAACCCTGTCCCAAATCACTCCCCACTTTTTCTTCTATGTACCCCTTTCCCCAAGGGTAGCCTCGGAATAGGGGTAAACAGCCTGAGCTAGTTGGAGTGGGGAAGTGTATATAGGGGATTCTCCAAACCCTCTCACCATCTGGAGCCTCAGTGAAAACAGAATAGTTACTAAGGGAGACGATGGAGGTTTGAGGTTGGGAGTCAATTGGAGCTGGGGTAAATAGCAGTGGGATAGCCTACTGGGGGTGAACTGGGGACACTTGAGGGTCAGGTTTAATGGGACTGAGAGCCCAGAGGAGTAGATGGGAGTGGGGCTGGCAGCCAGTACCTGTTTGGCAATTGGAAGGGAGGTGAATTTGAGGTAGAGGTCTGGAGAAGCAAAAACCTGGGATTTAGATTGAAGATGGAACAGAGACAAGTGGGAGGTCCCTTGTATGGGATGAGGAGGTCTTGGCAGTCCTGTCTACTGCGTAAGTGAGGAGTTTAGGGAGAAGGAGGAAGGGGGGCCAGAGAGAATTTGGTGGTCTAATCAAGAGTGGACTGGACTCTGATAGGAGTGAGTGACTCTGTGTGTGTGTGTGTGTGTGTGTGTGTGTGTGTGT